TGAGACTCAGGTCTCAATTCACTCTGCGAGTTGAATAAGCCCCAATTTCCTTCAGGCCGCTTTACTTTAATAAAATACGACATTGATTGAAGTCAGGGATTATAAACAGTAACCATGGGCAGCGTGCAGCCTGGAGATGTGCTAGGTTTGCCTGGCACCTGTGAGCATGCTTCGGCGGCATAATCCGAATGTCCTTCAGGGAGCGTGTCCTCTCCATGTCCATCTGTATCGCTGTCTGGCTTCTGAATGGATCCTGGATCCAGACTGTTTCCAAGGCTCCTTGCAGCTCTGACGTCCTTTGTCTCCAGCCAGGTACAATGCTGTCCTGCTCATGACCTGCGGTTTTGTTGGGAGACTGAAGAATGTCCCACCAGGAGGTTCAACTGATGTAATTTCTGCCTTACCACAAGCATGTGTGTGTGTGTGTGTGTGAGTATTTATATACAGTAAAATTTACCCTTTACAATGTATAGCTCTATGAGTTTTAACATATACAGTTGTGTAACCACCTCCACAATCAACATATAGAACAGTCCCCTCACCCCAAAACAGTCCTCCTTCATGGGCTATCCCTCCCCCATCTCACCCCCAGGCACTGAAAACTACTAGTATATTTCCTTTCCCTGTGGTTTTTGCCTTTACAAGGTCGTCATATAAATGAAACCATATAGTAGTAATATTAAAAAAATATTAAGTTACTGCTTGACCTAATTCTATAATATTTGTTCCCCACTTTCTCTTGGTGCATTTTCTTTTATCACCTTTGCATCAGACAATGATGTAACATCATCTTTAGAGAAAACAGAAGGCTAGGCTTTCTTTCCTTGGAGTCACAAGTTATTACTGGAAATGCCACATCTTGTGTGCAGTGCTCTTTGCCTAAGGGCAGGTCCTGGGAGAGCATTAGCTTTTTGATCTCTTCAGCACCAGCCCCTGAGGCCTTGGATTTGGCAGTGCTGGTCCAGCTCTGCTAGATCCTTCCCCTCCCCCACCCCCACCACTCTGCAGCTGCTGTGGGTGAAAGAGACAGCCTGGGGGCCCCACCAAATTATTGCCAGGACCAACAGGTTCAGGGGACGTTCCCCAAGCCCGGGCAGAGCTCTCCCTCCCCCACCCACCTCCCATGAATGGCTGAGCTGCTGTTTCCTTCCCAGGTCTGCACAGAAGGGCCCAGGGACCTTGGAAGGAGCCTATGCATGTTGAGAGGCTTAAGCTGAAACCTCTTCACAGGAAATGTCTCTGCTTTTGAACTTCCCTTAGGATAGCAGGGGGTTTTCAGGAAGCAGCAATACCCCCAAGCTTTAAAAGATGCATCCCTCTGTTCACAGCTCTTGGACAATGGAGTGCAAAGACAGCACAGCAGGCCACTGTGTGTGCTCTTTCAGTCCTTCTGAAACGTTGCTTCCAGCTCACAGGAAAAAAAAAAAAAAAAAAGAAGAAGAGCACAACTCAGATTAATAGATTCTGAAGTAGAAATTTTTGTTATAAGGGTGGGGGAGGACGAAAAGGAACCTAAATTCTGGAAGAAATTTTCNGAGAGAGAGAGAGGTGGAGAGAGAGGTGGAGAGCGGGAAGAGGGCTCGGCGCTGGCGTGGCTGTGAGCCATCACTCCTATCATTAATTCCACAACTTTTATTGAGCACCTGCTGTATGTTTAATGAGCCATAGAATGGTCCCTGCCACCTGCATGCTGACAGGCTAGTGGGAGGAGACAGACTTGCAAACAAACACAGGTTCCTATCTTAGTCAGACCCTCTGAAAAACAACTGGTTTTCAGAGACTTAAGTTTGTTTTTGTTTTTCTCCCACAGAACTATGTTCACTGTCCCTTTTACAAAGGAAAAGTAAATAGGTATGATATGGAATAGAGTTACTCAGCCAACACACTTAACTGAAAAAATGACTGAATATACCAGTGGTGTCAAAAAATGTATACACATGACTTCTATTCATCTTTTGTTATCAGTATATATTGAGTATTAAAATTTTAATAGTTTTTTTCTTTTTTAAAATGTGTATATATAGAAGGTGTCAAAAATGTATATACATTTTAAGAAAGGAAAAGAACTGTATTAAAATTGTAATACTCAATATATGAGGTCTGACAATTAAGTTTGCAAACTTACCACCACACGCTTACATTGACAGCACTGTACAAACAGCCTGGTAAGGTTTCATAACCTTGGTGTATCAATGTTTCACAGCTGTGTTCATGTCGACCTATGGCGGTGTCTTGCTGAGTGGAGTTCATTATCGTTGCGTGTTTTTGTGTGTTGTCGCAAGGACGTCTGAACTTGAATTAGAGCAATGAACAAATATTAAACTTGTTAAACTTGGCAAGAGTGGAAGTGAAATCAGGAACATGTCAGTCCAAGTTTATGGGGATAATGCCATGAATAAAACAGCAGTGTACAAATGGATTAAACGTTTTTCTGAGGGGAGAGAACACGTCACTGATGAAAAGAGGTCAGTAACGAGCAGAACTGATGAAAGCATTGCAAAAATTCATCGAATTGTGCGTCAAAATCGTCAGCTGACTGTGAGAAGCATAGTGAAACAAGTAAATATCAATAGAGAAACAGTTAGGAAAATCTCAAATGAAAATCTTGGCATGAGAAAGGTGTGTGCAAAACTGGTTCTGAAGGAGCTCACCGACGAACAAAAGCAAAGGAGAGTCAAAGTTTGCCAAGACCTTTTGGAGAGGCAAGACGATGTTTTGGGCCATGTTATCACTGGAGATGAAACATGGGTGTGCCAATATGACCCTAAAACAAAGGGTGAAAGTGCACAGTGGAAGTCAGCCAATTCTCCGAGACCAAAAAAGTTCCGTCAGTCCAAATCAAGAGTCAAAACGATGTTGCTGACCTTTTTTGATATCAGAGGGAATATTCATTGTGAATTTGTACCAACTGAACAAACAGTTAACCAAGTTTACTGTTTGGAAGTGCTGAAAAGTCTGCATGAAAAAGATGAAAACGACCTGAACTTTTTGCCAACAATTCATGGCTCTTGCATCATGATGATGCACCAGCTCACACGGCACTGTCTGACAGAGTTTTTAGCCTGTAAACAAATAACTGTATTGGAACGTCCTCCCTACTCACCTGATCTG